GTCAGGAACAGCACAGACCAATCCAGGAGCAGGTAACGGACCTTAAATCAATGTGGATGAGGTGAGGGAACACCTTGAGGAACTGGACATTCACAAGTCCACAGGCCCAGATGGAATGCACCTGAGAGTCTTGAAGGAGATGGCAGACATCACTGCATCCCCCTTGGCAGAGATATTTGAAAAATTGTGGTGCTCGGGCAAGGTCCTAGATGACTGGAAAAGAGTCAACATGGTCCCTATCTAGAAGAAATGGAGGAGGGATGACCCGGGGAACTATAGACAAATCTTATGTCCATCCCTGGAAAAATCCTTGAGAAAATTGTCAAGGGGTCCATCAACACCAGACTGATGGAAGGCAAGCTTCTGAATGCCAGCCAACATGGCTTTGTGACTGGCAGGTCATGCCTGACCAATCTCATCTCCTTCTATGACCAGGTAACATGTGGCCTGGACAAGGGAGATGACATGGACATCATATATCCAGACTTCAAGAAGGCCTTTGACCTAGTTCCCCATGATGTTCTTATGGTTTAAGTTGGGGACCTGTGACCTTGATCATCATACGGTCAGGTGGCTAGGCAACTGGCTACAGGGTCGGACCCAAAGAGTACTAGTTGAAGGGAGCAAATCAACGTGGTGCAGAGTGACGACTGGAGTCCCTCAGGGCTTGGTACTTGGGCCAGTACTCTTTAAAATCTTCATCAATGATCCGGATTTGGGAGTCAGATGTGAACTGGCCAAGTTCACAGATTATATCAAATTATGGGGGGAGGGTGGTCACACCACAGGACAGGCTGGTGATACAGGCCAACTTGAATATGCTCTCAGGGTGGGCCGACCAAAACCTGATGGCTTTCAATGCAGAGAAGTGTAAGGTGCTGCACCTTGGTAGGAAGAACCCCCAGCATACTTACAGGCTCGGCAGTGCTACGCTCATTAGCACCACGACCGAAAGGGACTTGGAGGTCTTGACTGACCACACAATGAATATGTGTCACCAATGTGGTGCTGTGGCTGGCAAATCTAACCAAACTCTGGTGTGCATCCACCAATGCATCTCAAGCAAAACCAGGGAAGTCATCCTCCCACGTTACTTGGCCCTGGTCAGACCGTAGCTGGAGTACTGTGTCCAGTATTGGGCCCCCAGTTTCAGGAAGGATGTGGAGAAGCTTGAGAGAGTCCAGAGGAGAGCCACTTGTATGATCCAAGGCCTGGAGGGAAGGCCATACAAGGAGAGGCTGAGGGACTTGGGACTCTTTAGTCTGGAGAAGAGAAGGCTCGGGGGGACGTGGTAGCAGCCTACAATTGCATAAGAGGGGTACATCGGGACCTGGGAGAACAGCTGTTCACCAGAGCTCCACAAGGGATAACAAGGTCTAACAGCCATAAACTCCAGGAAGGCTGATTTAGACTGGATGTAAGAAAAAACTTCTTTACGGTGCATGTGTCCAGGTTCTGGAACAAACTCCCCCAAGAGGTGGTGCAAGCACCTATTCTGGACTCCTTCAAAAAACAGGTGGATATATTTCTTGCTGGGGTCACTTCATCCCAGCTAACTTCCTGCCTATGGTGGGGGTGCTGGATCCAATGATCTCTTGAGGTCCCTTCCAGCCCCTAATGCCTATGAAATTTATTAAATCTATGAATAAGGCCTAATTTGATTCATCTCTAGAAGACTGAAGCCATTATGACTTCCCAAAGACTACAAAGAAGCTCAGAGCCACTGTTACTCAGGGAATTTCTGACTTCTTATCCTGTGCTGATTGTAGTTCATTGCTTTCCCACTGACATGATATGGGAAGATCTATCTTTCTTAAATGTAACTCTTTCTCCAGTCCCTCCAAATATGCCTTAGTACATCAGGTTTTTCCTATTATATTTTTTATGATTTTACATTTTGTGATTTAATAACTATAATAGCTTATACAGAATCAAACTTTTATTTCAATGCAAGTTCAATTTTAATATCCTGAAGGAATGTGTTGTGTAAATATAAGAACAGAGTGCAACAGCATAACTACCAAGTGTCAGTATGTGAAATCTGTTTTTAGCTTCAGAAAAAAGTTTTTTTAAAAAACAGCCATCTCCCTTAAAAATTATCAAATTTAGATTAGCTGTTTTACAAATTCAGAGATACAGAGATCGAAGCAAATTTACCCTAAAACCTTTCCTTGTGCAATAAGATCTTATGTCATGTCAACTGTACTAGGATTAAATTCACAGCAAACCATTCTACTCACTACTAAGCTCAGGGGAGGAGCAAACTTGTTAGCAGCCTGCCCAGGGGATTCATTTTCATGTTGAACCTGAAAACATACATCAAGCTTACAGCAAAGAGCAAGCCTTAAAAAGGCACTTATCTAGAGCTAAGAGATAAAATGCTAACTTTTAGAACTGAAGTGGCTTCTTAAGAGCTATTTGTTTCTAATTACTCTCAGGTAAGGTATAATAGAATAGTAAACATATTCAGATAGTTAATTATTCAACCATCCTTGTTGTGAGTTTGTTTTCCTAATTCAAAAATCCCCCAGTGCCTTTAATTAGCTGAGCTGAGACATACAATAGGCTTGTGCGAAGCAGCTAGTTTTCGCTTCCGATTTGGGTTCGGCTAATTCGGGGGACAGTGATTCAATTTGGTGATTCAAATCACTGTCCTGAATCAGTTCGGCCAAATCTGATTCAGAGACTCAGCTGCCACTGAATCTCCAAGTTGAAAAGGCCCCAACCCCTGCCCACTCTCCCAGACCCATCAATGGCTGCACCACCCAGCCCCAGCATCCCAGCACTGCCCTGTGCTGCATGGGGTCTTCCATGAGCCCCCAGAGGCCCCAATGGCCACTGCAGCAGCCGGTGAGTGTAGGGCTTTTTTTTTTTTTAGTGCAAGGACACTGGGGCCAGGCGAGGCAGCCATTGATGGGGCTGGTAGAGAGGGAAGGGGCCAGGGGGTGCTAAGGGGGGCTGGGGGAGCGGGCAGGGGATAGGGCCTGGTGGGGGTCCCCCCACGGTTCCCTGCCCCCTCCTCCAGCTCCACCCCACCCACCCTTTACTTACTGGCATGGAGCCTGGGTCCAGCTCCCTGATCACTAGATCAGTCTGTGGGCCCTATCAGGGCTCCCTGCCCTGCTGCCCTCCCCCAAAAGACCTCTGCAGCCCAGTGGGAGGGACCCAGCACAGGAGGGTGAAGAGGCTCAGTGCCATTGCCGGGAGCCCCACACCAGCTGTGCTGCCATGGTGAGGTGCCCCCTGCCCACCTGGCAGCAGTGGGGGTGGCTGTACAGAGTTGCATCTCCTGCTACTGCTGGGCAGGCAGAGGGCACTTTGTCATGCCAGCACAGCTGGTGTGAGGCTCCTGGAAATGGCAACAAGCCTTTCCACAACGCTCTGCCCTCCTGTGCCATGGAGGTCCCCTGGGGGAGGGCAGCAGGTTGGGAAGCCCCAAGCCTGCAGTGGACTGCCCACATCTGCCCTCATCCTGCACACAAATCTAGGGGGCATGAGCCCCCCCGCCACACACACTCTTCCCTCCCTTGGAGTGCACGCAGCAGTGGGGAGCCAGCCCCCTTGCCACTCCCAGGATGAGCCGCCCAAGGCTCCATCCCACTCCCCAACCAGGCCTGTACATTTCTGCCCTGGCCCTGGCCCCCACACACCACCCTGGCTGGGCAGCACCCCCCCGCCCCAGTCTTGCCCCATTCCTTCACTCCTTCCCTCCCTCCCTGTAGGGTCCTCGATCTGCTCTTCCTCCTTCCTCTTCCCCCCACCAATAAACTTACCTGCAGGGAGCTGTGAGATCTGCTCTCCATGCTGCCTGGCTGTTACGTCCATGTGCGCACACACACATGCACTTGGCGCCCCCTGCCTGATTACCCTCCTCCTGCTCCCCACAGCCCCAAGCAGCTCTTTGCAGCTTGTAACTCTGCCAGCCTGCAGGGGGAACCTGCTGTTCCCCACATTTTCTCCTTTGAAAGAGAATATCCATGTTTTTCTCCTTAAAAGGAGAAAATCTGCATTTTTCTGTGTTGAACAGAAAACCCAGGTCCCTGCTCATAAGCCTCTTTCAGGTTCAGGCCACTGAGAGGACAGTTGAGTCCGTTTATGGATTTCAGGCCGTGAGAGAAAACAGCTCATGTTCTTACTCGGTTAGTAGTTATGATAGCAATGAACATAATCCCAAAAGAATTAGTTGACTTTACTACACTGTCTCTGGACAGAGTCGGTGTCCTGAGATGCACCAGTTGTAAATAAAAGGAAAAAATACAGACCTAAGAAGAGAAGCAAATAAGTCGTAATATTTTTCCATGCCAAGCATAATGTCTTACTGTTATTTACAGCACCGCTTTCTGAGTTTTTTACTTGAAATGAACAAATTGAGTACACGTGGAATCAGATGAACTCTCCGTGCTTCATGTTTGGTTAACTTTACCAATTAGATGAATTCAAAGAGCACAGCATGCTGGTAATTAAAGATTACTGTTTTCCCAAGCTCTGCACCTTTTTAGTTTTATTATGTTTTAATAATCAACATTTTAATAACTGCAAAGAGATCTCTGGAAAATACAGCTGTTAACATATTTTAATCTTAATGTCATATTAATACAGGCCAAAGAGGAGGGGAAGGGTGAAGTTCATTTTTTAATTTAAATACATTGTGAAATCCAGATTAATTTTATGTGTGTCAGGTAGCTGGAAGAATTTCAAAAAATGATTGTAAATAGTGAGGGGTTTATTTTTGGAAAGGATGGCAAGAGATATGGAAAAGTGCCATATTTTTTGTTTGCAAAATATCCTAAATTGCTTGAGACAACACCTCTTTCTCCCAAGGGAGATGGGGGGAAAAGACTTATATGCTGCACTAGATTTTCTTTCCTTCACCTAATGTTAGAAAGACAGTTACAAACAAGTATTCTCACAAGAATTCTGCTGTGTTATATTCAATTTACACTTTGAATGGAAAATGCAATCCACTTCATAATTCAATTTTCATTGAACAATAAACCCACCTGAGCCAGTTCAGAGCTGCTGAGGTGTCCATCACTGTTTATATCCAAGTACTTAAACATATCTTCAACTAAGAAGCGCTTCTGCGATGTTTTATCCTCTACAGGGTTGCCCAGTTTGCTCTGGCGATGAGCTTGAAGGTCCAGGAGAATGCTTTTAAGCCGATTGTAGTCTGCCATTGTGCAAGTGTCACCTAAAAGACAAAGATTGAATTACTGGACCATCTTGATCTGCATAAAGAACCAAACTTCTAAAGGGGGAGAAAAAGACATAAACAAATACAGCTCTCAGATGCTATCCTTTAAATAGGCCCCATAGTCATTATCCTTTGCAATAGCTGGCTTTTAAAATAAAACTTGTCTTCAAGACAGTGCCCACAAGGCACACACACACTTGTGGGTACTCCTTGATTGGAGGAAGGCTAATGGACATCACCCTGACAGAAATGCACCCTCACTGAGGCATTAGGCAGTCAGCGGCATTTCTTTTCTGTTGCTCTCTGGCAGAAGCTACAACCATCGAGGCACCGAATATCTGGACTCCGTCTGGCCTTTGCATTCTGTCTCAATGGTCTGAAGTGGGGATGGGAGGTCTTGGACAGCCTCCACTCCTCCATACTCTTGCCTAGATATATGCATCAAAGGTCTTGGTGTGATGGTCACCGGACTCTTTGCAAGCAGATTCATCAGGGATCTGACTAGACCTCTTACACATACATCATGATCCAGAGGATTGATGGTTGCCTACTTTACCTTCAAGAAACTTCTTTATCATGTAATCTTGAGGGATTTTGGTTAGCAGATTGCCTACTAATCCCTGCCCATGCCAAATTTACTCTACTCATTCTTTAAAATAAATATCAAATAAATGCACATGTCCCAAGAGTCTAAAGTAAATATAAAACCTAACCAATATGAATATAAAAAGCTTTTTGGTCATAAATAAGTGCCACGCTGGAGCACTGTACCATGCAAAATGTGGAGTTGCCCTGTGAATGTTGACTAAAAACTATAAGGTTGTTTGGCAAATAAGGCATGAAATGCACTGTGACACTAAATATTTTATCTCGCTGGTAACATGCTTGAGAGAAATCAAACCTTAAATCCAGCTCAGTCTGATAAAGTGGTCACAGGATAGATAATAAAAGGTGACAAACCTAAGGGCTGACCTAAAACTCCTATGTCATGGTGCTGACTGTGCACATTGTTTTACTGGGGAATGTGATTGTGTTAATCCTTGAGATACTATCCAGGACCAAATTCTATTCTCAGTTAAAATAGTGTCCTCCGAGCAGTTATTTGGAAGGAGATCAGTAACTCTGAGAGCAGAATCTAACTTATAACATTTATGAGCTTTATGTATTTACTGATGCAGCACTGCTAGAATAGAGAAATCAGTTCTTCAATGCTTTCCCTCTGTTGCGCCTGGAAAATATCATATTCAGATTTAAGTGGCTTAGTCTTCAGGATCTTATTCTGTTTAATTCATTACAAGGGCTTTACATACTGCCTTTTAAATGTGAAGCCCGTTATTTTATTCATGTGTTAGGTCTGAGAGGCCCAATCTCATTGCAGGACAGGAAGGAATAGCTTGGGTACATGCGGGGAACATGAAGACAACAATGACTTCTAGAACTGGCCTTAAGGGTGGGCAACATGGGTGACCATGAAGGGTGCTGAGGTCAGGGAGATGCCAAACACACACACACACACACACACACACACACCTCATGCTTACAGCAGCATTCTCCCCCCATCCTGCCCCAGCCAATAGCCAATCCCCACCCCAGGCAGGAGAGGTAGTGCCCAGGCCAGTCCACCCCCTGCTTCTAGCTACTGCTCAGGAAGAGATAGGCAGTGTGGGCACATGTGAGAAGGGTGGCACCTGCTCCAGTCCACCTGCCTTGCTCCTGCACAGCAGCAATGTTGCATGCCTGCCCACTTGCTGCGTGCACAATGCTACTCTGTCTCCCTATTGGACTGTGCCCTGCACCCCTGCCTGCCTGCCTCTGCTTCCAGCAGTGCCACTGAATTATAGAATCACAGAATCATAGAAAATGAGGGTTGGAAGGGACCTCAGGAGGTCATCTAGTCCAACCCCCGGGGGAACACAGGACCATCCCTAACTAGATCATCCCAATCAAAGCTTTGTCTAGCCAGGTTTTGAAAACTCCCAGGATGGAGATTCCACAACCCCTCTGGGTAACCTGTTCCAGTGTTTTACTACCCTCCTGGTGAGAAAACTCTTCCTAATATCTAACCTAAACTTCCCTTGCTGAAACTTGAGCCCCTTACTCCTTGTTCTGTCATCTGCCACCACTGAGAACAGTCCAGTTCCATCCTCTTTCAAATCTCTCTTCAGGTAGTTAAATGCTGCTATTAATTCCCTCTCAGTCTTCTCTTCTCCAAACTAAATAAATCCAGTTCCCTCAGCCTCTCCTCGTAAGTCATGTCCTTCAGCCCCCTCATCATTTTTGTTGCCTGAATCTCTCAATCCGAATCAAATCAGGAGACCCATTAAAAGGTCTGAACCAAATCAAAGCCTCCAAATCAATTCAGAAAAGATTCAGAGATTTGGAAGGCAGGCTTGCAGCAAACAGAAACTGAGAAGAGGGAGGGGGAAAAGGGGAAAGATATTGATATCTGTTGCTGGCCAGTGACTGTGATCTTTCCCTGAGTTCCCTTCCAATCACAGTGCTCTGGGGGAGGGGTGCAGAAACAACATATAAGGGTGTGTGTGAAGTGATCTAGATATAAAAACTCATGTTCTCAATATAGACATTGGATTTATGATGCACTATAACCTGCCTGACATCTGACTCCCCAGGTACCTCTTCACTTTTACCTGCTACATCCCCCTGCCCTGCCCCCCTGCCTTTCTCTCATCCCCTGATGCCTCAATTTACATTTTAACTGACTGGTTTTCTTGCCTGCATTGCATGCCAGCCTCTGGCTTCTTTACTATTCATTCCATGCAGGAAGAGCACACACAGCAACTGCAGATGCTTCCTCAGTCTGACGAAGGGTTTTTAAACCCCAAAGCTTGCCAAGATATATTTCTCCAACTATTCAGTTGGTCTAATAAAAGATATCACATCTACTCAAAGAATCTTAGACCAACATGGCTACAAACAGAAACGCAGTTAATACACACAAGTAACACGAGTTTTGCTTTCAACAGTGGTTTTGAAAACTCCCAGGATGGAGATTCCACAACCCCTCTGGGTAACCTGTTCCAGTGTTTTACTACCCTCCTGGTGAGAAAACTCTTCCTAATATCTAACCTAAACTTCCCTTGCTGAAACTTGAGACCCTTACTCCTTGTTCTGTCATCTGCCACCACTGAGAACAGTCCAGTTCCATCCTCTTTCAAATCTCTCTTCAGGTAGTTAAATGCTGCTATTAATTCCCTCTCAGTCTTCTCTTCTCCAAACTAAATAAATCCAGTTCCCTCAGCCTCTCCTCGTAAGTCATGTCCTTCAGCCCCCTCATCATTTTTGTTGCCTGAATCTCTCAATCCGAATCAAATCAGGAGACCCATTAAAAGGTCTGAACCAAATCAAAGCCTCCAAATCAATTCAGAAAAGATTCAGAGATTTGGAAGGCAGGCTTGCAGCAAACAGAAACTGAGAAGAGGGAGGGGGAAAAGGGGAAAGATATTGATATCTGTTGCTGGCCAGTGACTGTGATCTTTCCCTGAGTTCCCTTCCAATCACAGTGCTCTGGGGGAGGGGTGCAGAAACAACATATAAGGGTGTGTGTGAAGTGATCTAGATATAAAAACTCATGTTCTCAATATAGACATTGGATTTATGATGCACTATAACCTGCCTGACATCTGACTCCCCAGGTACCTCTTCACTTTTACCTGCTACATCCCCCTGCCCTGCCCCCCTGCCTTTCTCTCATCCCCTGATGCCTCAATTTACATTTTAACTGACTGGTTTTCTTGCCTGCATTGCATGCCAGCCTCTGGCTTCTTTACTATTCATTCCATGCAGGAAGAGCACACACAGCAACTGCAGATGCTTCCTCAGTCTGACGAAGGGTTTTTAAACCCCAAAGCTTGCCAAGATATATTTCTCCAACTATTCAGTTGGTCTAATAAAAGATATCACATCTACTCAAAGAATCTTAGACCAACATGGCTACAAACAGAAACGCAGTTAATACACACAAGTAACACGAGTTTTGCTTTCAACAGTTTGAGCTGCACTTTCACAGAAACCCCTGCACCTATCTCTTTGAAACCTGGCAGGTTTCATGCCCTCAGAAGGGGCTACCATCCCTGCTGCATTCATCCTGCTCTGCCTTAACACATGCAAGTGGTACGAGTTTTGCTTTCAGAACCTTGAGGTGCAATTCCCAGAATCCCCTGCACCATCTCCTTGAAACTTGTCAGGCTTCATGCGCTGTTTTCATCCTGCGCTGCCTTAACACACACACGACATGAGTTTTGCTTTCAACAGTTTGAGGTGCACTTTCACAGAAACACCTGCACTTATCACTTTTTTGCTACCAATACTGCTGTTTTCATCCAATTCTGCAAAAAATGACAAAGTTATAGGTATTGTAGTGATTCCCCATTATAGTCTATGGCCAAATCACGCTGAATCAGCACCAAATCTTTTGAATCGAATTTGGCCAAATTGATTCAGGACAGTGATCCAAATCACCAAAGTGAGTCACTGTCCCCCGAATCAACCAAATCCAAATCAAATACTGGCCACTTCACACAGGCATAATAACCATCCAAATACCCAGATTCTGGACACCTAGCATTTCCAGTTTTTCCAAACTCTCTGTTGATTTATGTTACCATTTTGTTGACTAGTTTGTTGGGAGAAAAGACAGAAAGGAATCAAAGACAGTGCCCCCCTGTGGCCCCACTCCATCATAACTGGATTCAGACGCCAAGTAGGAAATTTAGTTCTTTAATAGCAGGCACACATTCTGAACATTTTTGGCCTTTAAAAATACCATAATTCTACAAGGTAATGCAAGGCATTCAGGCTTCAGGTGGCAATTCCCTGTCAGTGTCCTAGTGGGAGAATCTATGATAAAATTAATATCCAAACAATATATTGAATGCTTGTTTTTTTTGACAGCTGCTGTCAAACACTTATTTTCTGACAGCATCTTGGCCCTCGGGAATACTGAGGCCACTTCAGGACTGGTTTATCAAAAGTTCCTT